CCGGCCCGGAAGGCCCGGTAGTAAAAATTTTGTCACTTTGAACCGAATTTCGAGCTCTCAATACATTTTTCTATATTTTTTTGTGCTTTTTGGATTGTTTGTCTGTTTGATCAAAAATATCAAAAAAACTCGAAAAAATTTTTTTGATCGAAAAAAATCACATAAGGGTCCCCCCTTATGTGTTGAAATTTTCAAAACTTGTGGAATGACAGGCCCGCCGGGCCGGGCCTACGAAATTCGGGAAAAAGCCCGACCCGGCCCGTTGCAAGTTAGACAGATTTTTTTTAGTTTGGTCCCGTTTTTTTTCAGGTCTTTCCCGGTAACGAAAAACCGGGTTTTACGACTCGACCCGTAGTAAATTTAATTGCCACTCCCTCCCGACCCGGATAACCATTGTGGTGCGTGTGCAGTGCACAAAGTCAACCCACATTTTTTCTTCGTTTTTCTATTCTAACCAATTTTTGACCCCAAAATAGGTAAGTTACGGGCGCGCAAAGATTTTCCAAAACGGAAGGAAAAAATGTTGCCGAATTTCGCTTGACTACACTTTGAAATCGAGACGTAACATCCGGCTTTTTCTCAATTTTCATATCCAACCTTCTGCATCGAAGGTCACCAAGAGGTTGAATTTTGATCGAGCCATTTTTCGCGGAGTTCACAAATCAGAGAATATTGAATTGTACCACACACCCACAAAACCTACATAGACATACATAACATACCTCTTCACATAAATGGAATAGTCGAAAAAAATCTATCTCTCAACTTCGCACTTTGTCCGTCGCGGATCTTTTTCATCTTGCCTTCTTCTCCTTGTTCAACGAATTAGTCCCCAACTGCCACTTCAACTTTTTTCGTTTTGTCAAAACATTTTCTATCCCCCGGGTTTTTTTTCATATCCAGATTTTTGAGCATCCGAAAACCGCCCAGAAACCGAAAAAGAAGGCATTTCGGCCAAGCATGAAATACGTTTTTCTCTAAGGACATTTGTCTTTATCTAATGTTTGGGCTCGCGCCAACGATGCACGTTTAGAGTTCGTCATTTTTTCTTGGGCGTCGTTTTTGTAGAATCTTTTTGGTCCTACATGTTTTGAACAATGGAAGGTGAAAATGGCTTAGGCGAAAAAAAAATGTAATGCGGCGATTCGGGAAAGAACGTCGTCAATCTTTTTGAGCTAGAACAGATTTGTCATCTGACCTTCGCTATACAACATATTTTTTGTTTTTGATTCGGCCATAAAACTCAGTTAAACAGAAAGAATCAGGAATTACAATCATTCAGAATTTTTGAAACTTTCTGAAAATCCAAATTTTTTTTAACTTGAAATAATCATAAATTACAAAATTCCAAAACGTTTCATTCCGCACACCCCTGATCGGAAGCTCCCGCATTTTCTCTTGTGGCTTAGTTACCGTAACCCAAATCATAATTGAAGTTTAGCTATCGTAACCTAAATTGAAATTGAAAGTAATTCTGCTACCGTAATTCAGAGTTTTGTACATTTTCTGCTGGTTTTTGTCACTAGTCAGACAAAAAATAAGGTCCAACGTAAAAAAAAATGTAATGCGAAAGCGGCTTTTTTGATTTCTTTGTCTGTTTTATTTTTCAAATTTTTTAGACCTACCTCAAATTTCCATGAACACACTCCCTTCCAGTCTAACATGGTTTCAAATCTTGGAAATTCTTTCTTCCTCAATTGTTATTGAATTTGCATAGTCCATTTCCTAGGAAAATAGTTGTTCTCCTTTTGATGACTTATTGTTCCCGGAAAAATTATACTTGTCTACTTTTTTTTCAGTGAGATCAAAAATATTTATTTTGTTCAAAATTTTGAATAGAAAAGAAATCAAAAAGTTTCGAGCTAGGTCCTACTACAAAATGCTTATATTTTCGTGTTAGGTTCTTTGCTGAATACAATAGACACCCGGAAGAATTTTGCGCTCGTACTTTTCCTGTGCTCGAAAAACATATTCTCGTTCTTCAAAAATTTTGAGAGTCGTTTTTGAAAAGCTGCATCACATCATTTTTGAAAACTTGAACTACCATAACCATTTAAATCCATAATTTATGTTATACATTTTACCCGCGCGTTGTTCTTCCTCGGATTTTCCTTCTCTCTCCAAACTTTCTCTTCTTTTTAAAATCGAATTGAGCCAATTTCTAACGAAAGAGCCCCATTGCGTCGATGTAGGTAGTAAGAGGAAGAACCCTCAAGTTTCATTTGGCAAGCTAATACAATTTCGCGAAATTCGCTAAGACATCGAAAACTGGGACGACGTGTTGACAGGTTCTTCCTTACGTTTCCAATCTATTTTGGGACCTTGAAATTCGAATTTCGCGTCATTTACTTAAAAGACGCATACGATCCGTGAATTCACGTGAAACACCCTTGCCTTAGGTTTAGTGTTACCTAGACACTTCCGAGCACCAAGTTCCATGTTTTTCGAACTTTTACTTGATGGAGAAAATGAGACATTTGTGGTTCCCACGAGGAAGACCGGAAAAAGGAATCTTCTATTTATTGCCTTCGTCTGATGTTTGAGCAGAATATTATTTAGTTGAGGACATCTGATTTGAAAGAACGAGGAGGGCGGGGGTGTCACGTCTAATTTGATCGCATATATGTATTTATATACACATAGAGGTCGGATCTAGACATGACATAATTTTTAACATTGTAAGAGTTTTGAACTTTTTGTTTGATTCAGTGTCTTTAATGTAAAATTGGAAAATTGAATTTGAAGTTTTCAGTATTCTAAAAATTTGAAAACCACAAGGAAATTTAAAAATAAGTAAAAAATATTATGGGATAAGTTCAATTTCGGTTATTCTGATCATGTTCAGTAGTCTGGAACTGGGCTATCGAGTTTCTGATAGCTTCGAAATTTTTGGGCCTGTTTCTAAGCTGACAATTTGGCGGCCCCGTCTGTTTTTTGTAACAGAAGCGTTAAAAAAACATTGACGTAAATCTGAAAAAAAAGCAATTTTCAAAAAAAAAATCTGAATGCAAGGTTAATCGAGGTTTGTTTCCATCTCCTGTGAAGTTCAACCAATGATTATGAAGTCAATTTAAGGTTTATTTTTACAAGCAATTCAAGTAATCTTATCTTGTCATGTCTTTTTTATGAACTAAAACAGGTGTTGACCACCTTATTCTTTTTTTTTTGACTAATGTAATTTCAAAGAACCCAATCTGAATTAATTTCTAACACAGTATTGAACCATTACTTTTAGAACCCCTCCAAAATGTGTCAAAAATTTCACTGGGAGACCAAAAATGATTTGAAATCACAAACTTCCTGTCACTCTACTTCCAGTCACTTTTTTAACACGCGGGCCTGTTTTTCTTCAAAACGACGCATCAAACTTCGACTCATTTCCTGACAGTCATCACACCCGATCTTATTTTCCAACTGCAAGTAATTTCGTCATTTGAGAAATAGTAAAAAATGTGGGTGGACGTATTATAATTTCAATTTGTCCTGGATTTTTTTTTCTTTTTTTAGTTATTGGGAGTTATTGCGATCGCTGACACATGTATTGCATATGTCAGGAGCATTATGTTCCTTAGTTTGCAGTGAATAAATTGAGAGCAAGAAAAAATGTTTCCAATGTGCACTTGTCAGAATGTTATCAATGGAAATAAGCGGATTTTTAATGAAAATAAGTAGAAATTCCAAAAATTTGGAATCATGTGTTAGTTTTTGAACAGACTTTCCCAATTCAGTTTTCCGTTCTTTTTGGAATTCCAGACATTTCATAGATCCGTTGTATTTTGTATTTTGTCTCGAAGCGGTTCAAGTATGTGTAGGCTTTTTTATTCTCAATCAAGGCGTGGGCAATCCATCTTCAAATTGAGTATAACCCAACCTATTCCTTCTACACGAAAATTGATGACACTGAAGACGTGCGTTTAGGGGGAAATCGGCGGGATAACCCAATTTTGTTAGCAAGACCTCTAAATCAACCTGTGCAGCCTTTCCGACCCAATTGCTTTACCAATCGTATTGTCTTTTCCTTAGAACTCTCTTCCCTCTACTCTCTAATTCGCAGTTACATCAGTTTCTTTTTTTCTTTTTTTTTTCGACATGACGTCGTTTCTAAGATAGGAAAAAAGTGGGCGGAGCTTCAACTCCAATGGTCCGTTCGACAAGACCCCACCCCTTATATAAATGAAGCAACCCAAGAAACAGAAGACGAAGTCAGTCTCTGTTCTCTTTTTGATCCGTCTTTTGAGCATATAATGCCTCTGGGAAAGTTTTCTTCTTTTTTATTACGTATTGGATTGCCATCAATGACTCCTCAATTCTTTTATTTTCAAAAGCTCAAAAGTTATTCTGTTTGAATAGTAGAGACTTTTTATAAAGATTATTTCTTTCACAAACTATTTGACCTCATCGAATTTCTCACATTACTTTTCCCCTTTGGTCCTTGTCAGCTATCGCTTTTTTCAAATTTCCGATTTTCGCGCCCTCGGAAGTCAGTAGTGACTCCTCTTGATGGTCACGAATCTCATTAGATAAATGTGCCACTCACCCGATGACACTATTTTCCAAATAAAAACCGGAAAAGACGTAGGGTCGCGATGCAAGTTTTGGGAATAGGAGGAGCCACACCTCGAATTTCGAGTTTTGCGCTTCCTCTCTCTCTCTCTCTCTCCTAGAATCCATACCACGTCAAGATGTCAGCTTGTCACTCTTGATTGCTTCTACGGTAACGTGAATAGGCGGAGAGATCTTCTTCCTTTTTTATCATTCTTTGAAGACGTTCGCAATGTAGACATGTATTACTTTCAATAGATATGTTTCTTAAAAATTTCAGAATTTACCAAGAATAGAAAGGAAAGATCTTTAAAAGGATACGAAGATAAGATTTCTATAATCCTTGGGGGTCTTTCCAGATTCGTTGTTTTTGTTGCGTTTTCATTCTTCGTTCCTTTTGTTTTTCTAATTTTTTTGTGTTCCACCCACTTCCATGATCTTTTATTTCAGGGTTAGACATGCAACGGTGGTCGGGCGTTATTTTCATTACGCTATGTTGTTTGCTTCGTGAAGCGTCCGCATATACCGAGCCAAGTGAGTCTTGGGAGGACATCAATCTGGGACAAAGGGGTTTGCACGAAGAAAAAAGTCTCGTGTCAAACAAATCAAACGAATTCTCTCCTTTGATTTGCATTCCTATTAGTCGAAGTTGATCCAATCTCTTAATTGAATCGTGTAGAAAGGGTCCACGTCTTTTATTCAGTGACGCAAGTTTGGAAAGGACTGTTGTTAATGTAATTGAGAACAAATTGTGCTTTGTAGTTTTGTTACAGTACTCCAGAGTTACCAAAAAACTGAAAATAACAAATCTGTGTTAAGTCTCAGGAATCAAAATGTGTAAAATGTGATCGCAAAATGTAAAATATGATCGCATAAAATCTATGAATAAATATCCTGGCAAAGATTTTCTCCCGCTTCTTTGGCATCATGTATCATTCTGACCTTCAAACTTTCTGAAAAAAGAATAGGAATATTTTTGGAAGGCGTGAAAACAACAAAAAGATTGTCTATGTGTGGAAAAAAAAGTGTTGAGTTGAGTTTTTTATTCTTTCTTCGGATGATGGTCCTCTGGGACATCTTTTCGTTGAATGGTGCTCTGTACCCGGGGAAAAAGATCCAAGGAAAAATGATGTTCAACTAACGTGATGTGTGGATATTCCGAAGATTTCAATCAACAAGAAAAAAAGTTGTTTTTTTCGTTTCACAGGAACGAAATAGGTTTTTTTCATATAGGGAAAATAGCAATTCCTTTTTTTAAATGTAAAGATCACTTTTCAGTCTATGAGATCGTCGAAGACGACATACCAGCAGAGGATATTGAAGTGACTCGAGGAAACGAGAAACAAGACGGTCGGGTCTTCAATAAACGAGGTACGCTGAGGTTACGGTATGACATCTACATGAACTTGTTCCAGACTTCGATGGGGCGATGCCAGGTGTGTTGCGCTTCGGAAAGCGTGGAGGTGTTTGGGAGAAAAGGGAGAGCAGCGTGCAGAAAAAGGAAATGCCAGGAGTGCTTCGCTTCGGAAAACGTGCCTATTTCGATGAGAAGAAAAGTGTTCCAGGTAATAACTTCCCGGTTTCGTTGTTTTTTTCCAATTTTCACATCAACATTTTTTCAGGAGTTCTCCGTTTCGGAAAACGCTCATACTTTGACGAGAAGAAAAGTGTTCCGGGCGTTCTTCGTTTCGGAAAACGTGACGTGCCAATGGACAAACGGGAGATCCCAGGAGTGTTGAGATTCGGAAAGAGAGATTACACGGAGGAGATGTTTGACAAACGCAGCGAAGTGCCCGGAGTTCTTCGGTTCGGAAAGCGCGATGTTCCCGGAGTTTTGAGGTTTGGTTCATATTCTCAGGGCCACGCACATATGTTTTGTTTATAGATTTGGAAAACGATCTGATTTGGAAGAGCATTACGCTGGGGTTTTGCTCAAGAAAAGTGTCCCAGGAGTTCTCCGCTTCGGACGCAAATGAATTATGGGTAAGGAAATCGGGCTGTACTCTGTTCAAAACCTGTAATTTCCAGATGATGGACGATTTATTTCAAAAGTGCGCCAACGACAACTCGACGATCTCGTTATTATTCTTCTCCTCTATTAAGAATGTCTCAGTTAACTCTTACTCCCATTTTTCCTCCTGTCTCTTTTCAACAATGATACTATACGTTGTCAACTCTAGAGCTCCATGCGATTAAATGAATCATTTCCTGTTACGTCAAACGCATTCGATTAGAAAATAATAACAAAACATTCTTACGTGAGTTTTGATGTGTCCTGCCGGAGTTCTAAATGAACAAAGGTTGAAAAGCAGATTTTCCCGTCGAGTGAGTATGAAAGAACCAATTATTTCTGCTTTTCGTATTGTCTTAAGGAAATTACCAAAAAATCAAAAAGTTGTTTTCATGAAACTTGCAAGAGACATGGAACAAGCTCAAATTAGTTTCAAAAACGTTCAGGAGCAACTGAATGTCAAAACTCTATAATGGCAAAGCATACAGTAAACACTCTAATAAAATGTCCCCCAAACTGCCGTGTCATTTTCAGCTCAATCAAAAAGTGGTCAATTGACATTCACACAATAAAAAAAGCATCATCGTACGATTTGTCGTGGATACTCTCTTCACGGACGGGAATGTTCCAAACTGTTACCTATTCGGTCGTGAGAAATGGTATAACTGTATGTATGACAACAGGCTGAAATCGTTTACGGTAAAATCTGTATTAATATTGCGCCTCTATTTGAATTGCCCCTCTAATAGACTTGCACCCCTTGAGGGCACTTAAAAAATAGACTTAATTGAATTAATTGAAAAATAAAAAGATTTAATTGAATTGCCCCCGTAATACAATTGCATCTGCAGCAGTATTGCGGCTCCGCCGGGAGTACTGTACAATTTTTAGTCTGTGACACCGTGACGAACTATTGCACAGCTGTTTTTCGAATTTCTTTTTTTAACTTCCTACCTAATTTCTGGTTTATTTTTATTTTTCTTTGTTTTTTAACAATATTTTCCATTTATTGAAGCGAGCAAAAAGAGCAATGAATTCTGAAGAAGACCTAAAAGACGTGGAAAACGTGTTCAACGTGGAAAAATTGGATGACGTGGAACACGTGGAAGACGTGGATAACGTAGAAGACGTGGAAAAAATTGGTGAAAACTCTAGGAAAAGAAAGCGTGGAGCACACACCTTGGATTACAAGCTTACGGTGGTGAAATGGGCAGAACGGCGAAGATTATGAGGCAATCCATTGTTTCAAGAAAGATGGAGAAATTCCAGAAGGCGTGCAGTTATTGAAGACAAGACGAGCAGAACGAAAAATGGAAAAAATTCAGGAGATTTTGGGAGATATTGAAATTGAGGAAGACGATGGAGAAGTGAACCATGCCAAAGAAGAAGACAATAACTATGACAGTGACGCCTCGATTTTTTGACTTTTTAAAATATGAGATACTTTTCTTTTTGTTTTGTTCAATTTGTTACTTTTTTTGTTGATTTTCATAATAAAACTGTTTTTTTTTTCAAAATTTTCACCTCAAATTGTAGTTTGAAAAATAGAATTGCAGCCTCTATTTGAATGCCCCTCTAATAGAGTTGCACCCCTTGAGGTGACTTAAACAATAGACTTGCATGCAATATTAATACAGATTTTACGGTATCTCAGGAGCGGATCGGCCTTCAGACACATTTTCAGAATGTTCAAATAGTCATTCTTAAGTACTTTTCTTTTGAAAAATCAGTTCTCATTTTTTGTTTAATCAACTCGTCCTGCAATTTTATTGTATTTTGCCTCTAATGTTTTAATCTCGTGCAAACATGTCTATGCAATTCACACATGTCTTGATTAATGGAAACATTTTCTTTAAAAGTTATGCAGCTCGCAAATCGAAAAAACACTTAACAAAATCTGAAATTTTCTCCTCTGTAAAAAACATGTTTTGTTTCCTTCAAATATTTCCTGTTGTTTTCTGATACATGGAAAAACCTCAGGTTTTCTATTCAGTGAGTGATTCAGTAATTTCTCTTTTTTTTTGCTAATTTTTCATATCAATCACCGGTTATCGGTCTCTATTTTTGTATGTATTCACAAATGATTCGTTGTTGTCTTTTTTCCTTCAATGTCTGCATAGAGATTGTAATCTCTCTATTAGCAACTGTTTTTTTCTCATTAGAGCGCGTTTTTACTTGGGGACCCTCTTGTAGAATCTTTTCTAACGGTCTGTCTTCTTTGCACCCTCCTCATTTTCCATTGTCTCTCATCTTGCCCTACTGTTTTCGCGCGCTCTTTTGCAAAACATCCTTGTTGGGTGATGATAGTCCCTCTTTTCCCAGCACTCGTTTTTGTCATTCAGTTTTCTTTCCCGCCTTGATAGTTCCTCAAGTTTCTATGCGTTCAATTCATTTGGTAATTCAATTTTGTTTCTTTTTACCCAGGTAATGCGCCAACAATTTTTTAAGTATTTTACACCACTTGCTCGCGGTAGAGAGAAGGAAAAGCATTCGGACAGCACGCGATTCGTTTTCTGAAAATCTTAATACGTTTTTCCGTATTTTGTCAGACTGCGAATGACGAGAAAAATAATTTGTTTCCGAACTCAGATTTGCAAACTCAGGATTCAGAGTCGCGAAGTAGTCCGTTTTTTCATCATTTGCAATCAGACAGAACTCATGAAAAAACAGAATACCGAATAGTGTATTGTGATTTTCTGAAACGATTCACGTATGGTTCAAATGAAATTCCTATTATTTTTCTCATTAGTCCGTAACAAATCGTGAATTACCTGTGCAGAGCTTTTTCCCTTTTTTTCTTTTCCTCTCTTTTTCTCAAATTCATTCATATTTTCAGCGCAAACTTAGCATGGCTCCACACAACAAACGACACGAAAAACGCGCGACGTGGCGTCATGTAGCCGCTCGCAAGAAAAGACTTAGCAGAGGTAACATAATTGCTTTATCATATCGTAATATTTTTAATCCTGTTTTTGTAGCCGACGAGAAGCTCGAATCCTTTCTCAAAAAATATAGTCAGAAAGAAAAGAAGCGAAATGCACTGAGAGCCACCAGAGAGCCCCGGAATGAGCTTCTTCTCGGATCCACCAGCAGCTTGGGTAAGTTCATTGTAACATAATTTCCTTCACATAGTTTTACCACAATTTTCAGATTCAACAGGCGTTTCTGACTACCCAGGACAACTATCAGAGAATCTGGAACACCCATCAAATCCAGTTGGAACCAGAAACATGTCAAATGGACATCCATCAGAGGATCTGGAGCGCCCATCAAATCCAATCGATACCAGAAGCAGGTCCATCTCCAGAGAAACCAGACAGTTTACTGGTCATATCACAAATACAGTTACATCAAGAGACTTAGACCAATCTGCGAGCAATCAAGGTAAGATTTTTTGAATCTGACAATTCACTTTTTATTTTATTTTTAGGAGCTACAAGCTCAAGACAAGGTTACACACAAGTTCGTGAAGAGATGCCATCCACTTCCACGGGAAGAGCATCCAGAGGTATCACAAGAGTTTTATACACGCCCATTCATCGTTTCTCACCATACCATGATCCAATCACGAATCGCCAACTGTTTGGTCGACTCAATCAAAATCCGTCTCCAAGAGCAGATCAAGCACAACAAAAGGAGAGTCAAAATCCTTCAATCGCTCTGAACGAACAAGAGTCAACCGATGAGGACGAGGAAGAACCACGTACCAAAAAAGCCAGAGCAACCACTGACGAAAACAGCAATCCTACCCAAGACTCCAACAGTTATGATGGTGAGAGTAAGTTGAGTTTCCAAATTATTTATAACTCTTTTCGTTTTCAGGTTTTCAAAGTTACATGAATTCTCTGGGCGCTACTGGTTATACAATTGGAAGAGGACATTATGGCGGATCATCTGGAGGTGTTGCCACGCAATCACGTGCTCCATTATTGGATTTGACGCAACAACCAAACCGTCGAAAGAGAGGACACGCACCCGCTGTCCAAAGACGTGTTCCAAGAGACAATTTGACTATTGAGGAGAGAATTCAACAAATGAATCTTGAATCAGGAAACAACAATTCCTCACCATCGGATCGAGAGGCAGAAAATGCGTGGTCTGAGGATACGTCTTCAGAAGACTCCTCGACTAATACATCCTTCTCGGAAATGTGAGCAGAAACTCTGATGATTGAAAATCTTAAAACATGTATTTCAGTACCGATGACGAGAATCAAGAAAATTAATCAGTCAAGAACACAACGTATAGTATACGCCAGATAACTACAAATACGACTAGAGACAATTCTGTTTTTGCCTTGAAATCTTGCATCTACAACCTGTTTTTTCTTTATATGCACACCCGTTTTTCATATTAATTTTGCACCCAGTGCTTTGAGTCAATAAATGTTTTTGATTCAAGTTTGAAGTTTGGATTAGAACAAAAGCACGAACGAGGTGCATCCATCATGTATAGGCGGATTTTAGCAGAACTTGATGTTAAGGATTTTTTCTGGAATCACAGATGTTTGGATTTTCAGGAAAACAAGGAGAAAAAATAAATCAGCAACAAAAGACTACTATGTGGGATTCTTATGTTGAAAACTGGAAATTGAATTTTGATAAAAACATGACCTACACATTTCAGACTCAATTTTGAGAGATATGGAGAAAAAAAAGAAATGACAAACATTCGAAAAAAAACGGAAAGGAAGACTTAGCGCATATCGTAAATTCTGTGATAGAAGGCTCCCCACACAGTCAAGTTTGAGCCTTATTATGCCAATTCTCATGCAAAATATCAGAATTGTCTCAACCAAAAAAACACCCATGGAATAACAATGTATCAATTTTATTATTAAACTTTATATATCTGCGACGAAAACTCCAGAAGTCTCAAAACACAACGAATTTGTTCCATGTAAATCAAAACCATCTCTATTCTTTGAGTTCCGATTTCCCCACAATCAAGATTTTATCACTCTCGTGCTCTTTTCAAAATAACTCCGTCTACTCCTCATTACACAAAATGTTTTCTGAGAACAGTTCGAAGGAGAACATAACACCACACATCTATAGGTCATTTGTTAACAGCCGGCTTCTGGCCGGTAGGGAAGTGGTGTTGTCAGTTTTTCTAACAGAATTATATCTTTGATAATTTGAAAGCAGTAAACCGTAACACATGTAATAGAAGCGCACCCTTACTTTGAACTTGAAGCCAATTTTTCTTGTTTTCTCTCCAAACACCGTAGTTTGCCAGCATCATCAACGACAAGTCGCGACTTTCCATTTCTGGCGGCGCACACCGCGCCCGTACAGAGTTTGTTTTCATCCCGAAAGACAATCGCATCTCTCCGAGTTCGATATATCTACTTTTCTATGATTTCAGCTAACTTGAGATCGTCTACCTTGTGTTTCCGAGTTTCACTTTGAATAGATTGAATTTTACCCACTTTCCACTAATCGCTCTTTTTTCATTGGCTCGACACAACGTCATTGATCGCAGATTTGAATAGCTAACTGTTTCCACCCAGGAGAGCCTAGACATGTGATCAACATACCAGCTAGTCGCTGATCATCAACCAGACACACATAAAATTTCATTTAGTTGTTCTCTAGTCTTCTACCATCCCACATTTTTTTTCAAATGCCTGTCCCCTTACCGCATCAAACCATCGTTAGCTCCCACGCGTAACAAAGCGAGCGGTAAAAAAGATAGCACACGATTTTATATTCCTTCTCTTCCACAACTATTCGATATTGGCGGTAGGAGTCCAGCACTGTGTATGGTTCTTTTCGATTTTGTTTTTGGTTACATCTCAGAATAAGAGAAAGAGAAAAAGAGAAGAGAAGCAGAAGTAAAAACAGTGTCGCGTTCCTCCGCACATTTACCGCCCACAACGAACTATTCCTTTTTTTCCTCTTCACTTTTCCGTTCACTCCAATCTTTTTTCTGTTTCGCTCTAATTTTCGTGGTTTTTTCGCTCTCTCAGAACAAAAATTTCAATTTCAGAACCACTTCTCACTGAAACCACTGAAGATGTCAATTTTTTTCCCTCCAATTTCGGAGCAAGACACAGAGAACGCTGCGCCGGATGACGAGCTGTCGCCAGGCACGACCCCGGTAGAAGGTAATGAAATTTATTGCATTGTACAAGTATTGGTGCATTGATCGATTCGTAGTGATTCGTCGTCTTCGCCGTAGACGTTATTCTGAAGTGTCATCGGACATAACTCCACCGTCTCCATTGTCCGGAATGTCTAGCTTTGATGGAACCCTTGTCACCAGTTTTTCTGCCACGTCCCGAGAGCGCCTTTGACGTTGCATGTGTTGGATTGTGGGGCGCCACGGATTGGGACACTGACGACGTGGTGATTGATGGCGGCCACGAAGAGCAACAAGAAAAAAATTGTCAAGGCAAAAGTGCTATTGGCGACTCGATCTCAGCCAAAAGGCAATTGGAGCAGACAAGACTTTTGGAGAGCGTTGCTAAGAAATTGAAACGTAAGTAATTTTTTTTTATTCCGAATTTCAAATTGTCCCTTTTTAGAAGAAGGAAGTGCTTCCAAAGACAATGTCAGACAGATCAGCAATGGAAATGGTGGAGAGAGTGCATCTCAAGTGAACCTCATCATGGATTCGCACGTTCTCACAAATGGCGCCAACCGTTCGATGTGAGTTCAAGAAAGAAAGAGAGAGAGAGAGAGAGAGAGAGAGAGAGAAAATTATTGGAATACATGCAATACTGCTCTCGAAAAAAACTTGTCCATAAATTTAGATCTGAAATAATGAGACAAATTTCAATGATTACAAAATTATTCTTTAAAATTCTTGTAAACATAAATATTGAAACTAAGAAAAATCAAGAAATTCGCTTTGTTCTTTTCACAACCTTTTTTTCGCGTTTGCTGGCATTAAGTACTTTTTTACTTGATAATATACATTCTCGGTCCTTTCTGCGAATATTGTATGTGAGAAAAAAATTAACAGATGCCAGGAAAAACCCACCGAAAACCTAAGTATTTTTTCTAATTACTGTAAACACAAATAGAAATAGCTCGAATAAGTTCGAATTTCAAACATCTCGGTTCTTGTGAAAGATATAAAAACAACGTACCTGATAAAATATTTCTGATAGCATAACAAACAATCAGCTAAGTGACTTCTTTTTGATATTTTGTACAGGAATCGAGATAAGTGAGCTCAAAGTAAATGGTTTCGCGGGCAGCGTATGAGAGTGTTTAAGGTGAAATTTCCTAACATTTCTTGAGTTCGTTTCGCAGGTTTTGGTTTTCCACAGATTCTGACCTAAATTCCAAAAGCGAAAGCATTATCAATACTTTTGATTACTTTTCAGGCCAGAGAACATCAATGAGGGCGTCACTTCCAAGAATGGACTACCATCCGGCTCAGCACCACTTAGAGATTGAATCGACCCCCGAGCTAAATCAGTTCTTTTTCTCAGAATACCTAAAATGGGTCTGTTCTCAAGTTTAAAATTCATTTTTTCGTTGTTTTTTTTTGTTTAATACCGATCCACCTCTCTTTTTTTATCTGTCTCCCACTACCTCAGTAATTTTTTTTGAATAATAAAATTTTTAGAGGAATTCAAGCTTGAAGTTTCTTATGGGAATAAAACTAGCCAATAACAATAATTATGCGAGGCGTGGCAAAAACAAACTTCAGGCTCACATCATCTAGGTAAGCGCATTTACACAACACACCCCAAAACGCGAAATCTGATCGTTTCTCGAAACTTCCTTTCTTACTTCGAAAATTATTCACAAAGTGAACATGGAGCAGGTAACCCTAGTGTTTACTATTTTTGTTTCACCACTTATACTTTGCTTCCGTCATTTTCATATTTCGTCACACGCGTTATCCAAATCATGTACCAATGTGAGCAGATTAACTCACGACATCTATTACGTCAAAGTTTATCCTTAGTTCGCTATAAAAAACGAACGTTGAATGTATCAGACACACCACAAAATTCCTTATCTCGTCTAATTGTTTTGTCTGATTCTCAAGAAAAAAGAGGGGGAAGCCACAACTTGTGTTTTGTACACTCTCTTATCTCTTATCATAACCCACCGACCGCATTCGCTTGAACTCACACTACTACTATTCCCTCCTTGTTCTCTTCTTGCACCTTATTTTTCATTTTTGCTATTTGTTATTTTGTGCGCCCTCAATGCTACTAGCAACGCTCAAAAATCACTGTACGACAAATGACTATATTTTGTCACAGGATTTTTGAGTGTTGCTAGTCGGAGAAGGGCCGTCTTGAAATAATTCAGGTGAGTCTAAAATGGAAGTATAATTTTCAGGACGGATTTTAAAAGATTTCTGTTTAATAATAGATCAAAAAGTAGAAGTTGTCCACCAAGCTAAAATAAGCCAGATGGATTAAAAATGAATATATTTGCAGATGAGAAGATTTAGTTTTCTCTAAAAAAAGAGAGAGCTTCTTTTTATTTACGAGCCAAAGTTTATGAACTTCTCTTTTTGATAATTTGAAAATTTTCGCCGAAATCTTCTGTTAAAAAGTTAAATTAAAAAAACAGGAACTAAATTATGAAAAATTGGCATTTTTCGACTGGGACATTTCACAACTGCGACTTTGCATGACTATATTTTGCCCCCATACATATTGCTTCCGTGATGATATAAACGAATGAAAAGGTTTCAGACTACCAAAAAAAGTAAGGGTTTCCAAATATGCTTTTTTCTGATAGAAAACGTTTTGACCTTCAAAAAATCTAATGTTTTCAATTTTTAAAAACCGATGATGTGTTTTATGATGTGTTCTATAAGAAAAAGCCAACTTTAAATAATCAGATCTATTCATGTAGTTCAAAACTTATCCAGTCTGTATTATCACGTTGAAAAAATGTTAGGTTTCGAAATATAGAAATGGTGACATATCAGAGTTGCGAAATGTTCATTCTCGAAATGTCATGCAGCCAGTTTTTCGGCTCCTAGACGTTTGCGAACCCGTCAGTTGCGAACCGCGACGTTTGCGAACCACGACACTTGCGAACCCGACAGTTGAAAACGCGACGGTTGCGAACCACGACGTTTGCGAACCCAGGTCCGCAATTGCGCGTGGTGGTGTTTGCACAGAAATGCGAAAATCTTGTTTTCAGCTTTAAAAAAAGAAATATTGCGTATTCTTTGTTAGAATTCGGGGAAATTTGAAGAAATACATGATAAAATAATAGAAGAAACACGAAAAATTTTTTGAAATTTATTTTAGAACAGAAATGACAACAAATGAACTATCTGCCAAAGATTGTTTCTCACAAAATCTAAGAATTTTTAATTACACATTTCAAGAAATGAGGCGTTGTCACCTCAAGAAATGTTCAGAGACACTTCATTTTCCGATTGCTCCTTTGTTTCGAAATTTCTATCATTCAGCAGATTACAAGAGAGACAAGAAACTATTTTCCCTCCTTCGTTTTCCAGAATTCACTTATTTTGAAAGTGCATTTTTAGATCTTCTAGAAAGAGACGTCATCTGTCCTTTTGAAAGTGCATATATATTTCTTAGGTCATAGAAATACAAAAAAAAACATTTCAAATACAAATTGTAGCTAGAATACATTACGTTTCAGCATCATCACCATCAACACAGAGTATTCACTTACATCAGTTGGTTTTACGAATTCTGTGTAAGTCGAAGCACTCTGTGCTGACGGTTGCGAAAGAGCAACGCATTTCAAATCTGATGCCAAATGCACAGGAGGTAGAGCCGAATGGCGAATAGGCGTGGCGCATCAAAAATAACGTAAAACGCATCACATTCATTTCATTTAGGACATCTGCAGAAAATGAGACGGGCCGTGGTTTTTGTGACGAGAAGAAAAAGAGCCATCCGGAAATTATGGGCCAATTTGAAGAATGGGAAAAAAAGGGGAGGACGAATGGAAAACGAATGGTTGAGATGGGTAGGAGAAGAGCCTCATTCTGAAATGAATTTCTTGGTTGAGCAGGAAATGAGATGCATTGGTTCGGCGAGGCTATCGCACACACACTCACCGATTTCTTTTTTTTTTTTGAAACTGAAAAAAACAGCTACTTTTGACATCTTCATTTCGACAGAGGATAACCAGTGACACTATTTAGGAAGTTGTGTAACTGAGATATGCTCTGACGGATGAAGATTTGTCTAGATTTGTAACTTATCTTGGAAGAATCGTCTAGAGAAAAAAATCAAGAAAAGAGACGTCGCAGTAAAGAATCTATCTGAAACCAGAAAAATAATTTTTCAGACAGGAATTAGTGAAGAACAAGCAAGAGGAAGCAAAATTACTGGTTACTCATCTTAGCACAAAAAGACACGGAAACATAATTTCTGCGCTTCTGAGAATGTAATGTAACACCATCTGGTACGCACATACACTACATCTTTCTATAAAACTTTTCATCAGCATCTTGTGCAGCAAAAAAAATTTGATGATCAGTTACGAGGCCGTTTAGTGTTTTTGATATAAAAGAGAGGAGAGTGGAGAAGAAAGAGGAGAAGAGGGAGAACTGGTAAAATGTTGTTTTGCATGAACCATTCTGCCGCCACTGTACATTCAATTGCAGTTTGGGAGTTTTTGGAAACAGGTCAGAAGAGATGTAAAGTTTGAAAAAAAAAGAGTACTATGAAATTCATGGCAGAAGGTCCCCTTAGGAATGGTGATACATCTAACAAATTTTCCAAAATCTTCAAAGTCACTTGAAGTGATTAAACCCCTGTTTTTCTACAAAAAACAACTCAAGCCAATTTGAGTAGATCAGGAAAAAAACGTCTTAATATATAATGTTTTGAAATGAAGTTTCTAGTTTTGAAGTTTCAAAGTTAACATAAAGTTAGAATCTGATCAAAAAGAGAAAAAATCAAATAAGGTAAAGCGTAAATGTAGCTTTTAACGTTTCATAAAATAACAATGTTTCCTCGTCTGAAAATATCTGATGATCTGAAAAAAACCAGACCAATTTCGAAGAAGTTCAAGATATTGGTTCTAATACATGGTTAACTCCGGTTTTGAGTTCCTGTTCTCAGTTGCTTATCTTTAATTACAGATTGTGGATTTTGGATTCAGAATTTTGTACTCTAGATTCTGTATTGCCGACTCCGTATTCTAAAATCTAAGATCTGAATTTTGGATTCCCGATTTCGGATTGAATATTCGGACTCTGAACTTGTGGTTTAGGATTTCCGATTTGGACTCTATAAAATGATATCTCGTTTTCTTTAAACCATTAAAAAATTCGAATACTCCAAAAACTGATCACTAGCAGACCAAATAATCAATTTTAACTTCTTGAGTGATTGTAGTTTTTTAACAATTCAGAACTTTTTTAATTTGTTGTCATGGATAGCTAAAGCAGTTATAGTCTTCTACAAGATTCCGTTTCTAATGTAGCAGTTGTTTTTGAAAGATTTTTTTCCTTTATCCGAAAGCTCATAAAATTTTTCCCATGCCATGAAAAACATTTTTTCCCATTATGACCTAGCAACGTCCCGAAAGGATGCATTCCCAAACTCAATAATTGAGTTTTAAAAAAATGTTCTCCTCCAAAGCATTCTCATCTACCCCATTAATAATATTTTCACCTTTACCATTAAAAAAAGCAAAGTGCAACAACTTCTGTTTTTCATGCAAATAACATTTTCATACAATGAAAAAGACGACTTCTTACAATTTTACATGGATTGGAGGAGAAACTGGGATGCTCTTTTCAAAAGTTAATTTACTATTCTCCCATTTGACTACAGTATGCAGACTCCTTTCAGACTTGTTTTATACATAAATGAAAAATTTGTGAGTGATATGATTGATCTTAAGAACTATTCTCCGCTTGGCACTTATATTGTTTCGAGTCTCAAAATTATCACTTGCAAAAAGAGACAGACTGGTGAGAAAGGAGCGAGCTTTACTACTTTTATTAGTAATGAGAATATCTAAAGATTCAATAATCCTTGCCAAAACAATTTAGCAAATGCCAAGACAGCCATATTTGGTGTTTTTTTTTTAAATTTGAGGTGACATTGGAAATGATGAAAGGAATGAGATTTTTAAAAATGTGTGTTTTTACGATTCCAATCATTAGACATGTTGGTTTCACGTAATATGTTTAATGTTACATTAATTTTTTTCGTTCAACTTTTTGCAAAGCAGTCAAAGTTCCGATCCTTGAGATTCAAATTTGCGTCCCGACTTATTTTCAAAATGTTCAGATTATCATGAACAGGTACTTCATGAAAGCATACATTTCGAATCACGTTTATTCACTCTTCTTGCAATCTTATTGTAGTTTGCTTTTGTTTTTGGAACCTCGTGTGAAGTGACATTTCTGGCCAATCCACACATGTCCTGATTAATCTGCCGTTTCCTAACTAGGCGTCAGCCCATTTCTTTTTTTTTCATTCCAG